CCCCCAACACCTACAATCCAGAGACTTAAATAAAACATGACTCTGCCCCACCTGACCTCTTCTCCTCATAGATGAAGATCCAACAGCAGAAGGGCCAGAACCTCTCAAAGCAAAGCGAGACAGCCTTGGGACTCTCTTCCCCAGCAAGGCATGGTGCTTAGCCTTCCCCTGTCCCTTCTTTAGCATGGATTTTTGATTAAGAAGGTGATTAAGGCGATTTGTCTTTGGTTAAGACAAATCAGGTAACTTGCTGAACAGTTTAAAGACAAAGTTCAGAATCTCTGGTAATTTCCTAAAATTCTATATGATTGTTCAAATCTGGCCAAAACTTCTGATCTTACAGTGCAGTAGCAGAGCAAGATGCCCAGGTTTGCTTAGTCTGCTATTACAGACACACGCTCTGACAAAGTAACAAACATTTTTTTCCTAGAGTCAGGAAAATAACAGCTCTGTCTGACCCAAGGAATGAAACTTCTGTCAGTGTTTACTTAAGGACCAGGCAACACATATGCTTTCAGATTTTTTTCCCTTTAATGTAACTACAAGGTGCCTTTTTAAATCATTAACTCCGACTTAATGTAAGTTTCAAAATCAATGGATACTTATTTGTACTATTTTAATAAAACGTAATCAAATCTCTCTCTTCAAAGGACTAACGGAAAGAGCAAATGAAGAGTACAACATACCCCCCTGACCTTTTAGCTAAAGAAAAAAAATTACACAGCACCCACATGAACTGACAGGAGTATAGCCTACCTGCAGCTTCCTATGCTTCCAAACAATGTAAGGGGGATATTCTAAAACTGTGATTTTCTTGTTACCAAATTAGCATCAACTTTTTGTTGAAGTGTTCAGAGGGGGTTTTCTTCCAATTTCTCAAACATGACAGTGCTTAAGGCTGAAGTCAAAATATTTGAATCGGATATACAAAATATAAATAAACCCACATTGTCACAGCAGATATGCTCTGCCATATGGAATTGTATTATAGGAGAAAAGTAGCTTCTTCATTAAGAGCTCTATAAAAGTTTTGTTCATATGTAAATTAAGTTAAACTGGAAAAAAAGTCTTTGCAAATAGTCACAGAGATTACTGCAGTAAATATCCATTTCCTAAGCTGACAAGCAATAGTGCTGCCACCTATGGATCCTCCTGCCACGGTGGTGGGAAGTAGGAGAGGTCCCTGCCCGTCCAGCCGCAAGTGGGACGCCCGGCTTGAGAAAGCTGGCAGGATGAGGGCAACAGGGTTTTTAAGGCTAACCCAGACAGAAGGCCAGAAAGCCTTACGGATGCAACAATCAATACACTTTAGCATTAATACTGTAAGATCAGACCTTTTATTGATTAAAGGAAGATTAGGCAGCAAAATATGAGCTTCACTGAAGCACATAACATTAAGATGTGCATTTCAATCCTATGAAGTAAGGTATAAACATAGGTATGTAACTAAAGAATGCTGACATTATCTGTGGATATTTCACATCCTGTTTTGTTTTGGAAACTAGCAGAAGTTATGCCGAATTAAAAATAATTGCAAGCACAGACCAAGACTCCACCAAATTTATGGATACAGCTACAGGCAGAATTTATTCAAACATCTTGCTAAAAGGATAAATTATTTTTACAATCAACATTATCCCCTCACAAAACACTAGACTAAGTAAGAAGGAATTCTTCCACGTTAAACGCATGCCAGTGTTACCCAATGAATAATAACACAAAGACATCTGGCAGTCACATGCTTAGGTTCATCACCTCAATTTACAGCTGTCGCAGTCCAGGCTTTGTGGGTTAAGCCAAACCAGCACATTCTTTCCACAGCCAAGCTCACCTCGTCGCGTGAGACTGAAGTGCTTATATGCCAAGTGTCAACACAACATAATGGGAACTTGCTCCTGTCCCAGCAGCCACCATTACTAGTGCAAAACCTACCTTTTCAGATTGGTAAGGAAGACACGGTGCTTGCTCCAAAATCTCAGTCTCAGTGAATGCTTCTCTTACTGGAAGAGCATAAGCCTCAACCAAAATTCTGAGCAGCACCAGAGAAAACTGCTCAGGTCTCCCTCGGCTGCACGTGTACCGCACTTGCAGCAATGCACAATAACAGTAACGCTGCAGTCCCCAGCTTTTACACTTTTACTTAACAGCTTTTACTTGTCTAAGCATGTCTCCTATCCTATAGGAGCCAACATTTTTTTCTGAGCCTTACTCCTTTTATCTTTTCATTACCTTTACCCACAGACGGAAAATGTCTACATCTCAAAAATACTAATAAATATTACAGCGTATGTATTAAGAAGTAAGTCAGTCTTTATTCTTGTAGGGCGTTAGAAAAATTAAGGTAAGTAACAGTGAAACCTTGGGGGCTGGCACACAATTAGTTTAATAACTGGAACTAAGGGAGCTCCTGTCTCCACAACTTCGAAGGTGAATCCAAAACATTTAATTCAATTGTAAGGCAAATTCCAATCTGAAATGTGATAGAGGACTGACTAGTTTCTCTTCTTAGTTAAAAATGCAGAAAGTATAATGATTGTTTTAAAGAACACAGGTCCCACTTGGAAAAAATCTTTGTTTCTCACTGCAACAAAAGCCAAATCCTTGAATAAAGAACAAGTTTTATCTGTGCAAAGTCTAGGATGTGTCAGGAATAGAAGGTGATTTCCAACAACTCGTGTTGATGAGCACATTCTCTACTGCTAGCATATACTCTCTTCCAATACTGAATACTGATGAAACGGCGAAATCAGCCTATAAACAAAGCAGAAATTTATTTATGTAAACTATAGGACTGGGGGTGTGTGGGAAATTAAGACACAAATAAAGATTACACCAATGCTACATAAACTCCTATTATACACATTGTAAGACGAACATAAAACAGCAGGTAATGCTTGAATGGGGGAAAATAAAACTGAAGCCACAACAGAAGTGTTCAAATTTGCTTTGGTGGCAGTTCACTTGCATGTCCCAGTTTTCCAGTATTCCACTAGCTCTTTTATTTCCTTTACTGAAAGTTATTAGGAAATAAATAAGAATACCAAACAACATGCACCTACCTAGCTTTATAAAATACCTTCCCAGTTAGGTCATTC